ATTTCATTTTTGAATGATTAAACCTTGAATCAAAGGAATTCCAGAAATGTTAAAATTATGGTCAGGAATTTAATCATTTTAGTATTCTTTTTTTATAGATAAGACATTCATGTGATGTCTTTTTGCTTCACATATTGTCCAAAGAAAAAATATCTTTTCCAGAATATTGAGGGCAATTCTTCTCTATTCACCTGAACTGAAATAAATTTAATCTACTAAAGGACAACTTTAAGAAAAGTTGGTTTTAAATCACAGATAATTCCAGTAAAAGAGACAATTTACCCTGCATAAATAATGTACTATAGGTTTTGTTAATGATCAAATAGTACACAGCCTTATGTTAATATCTATTTAGATCAAATAAGTAAAAATGAAATAAGATAATAAAAATCATACTTATTAAACATTTTCTATAGGCTCTTTCAAGTGATTTTAGGATTTCATAAATATTTAAGAAATACCGGGAACACTGTGCCAATATTACTTATTTTCTTTTTTCCAGATATTTGAGCTACAATAAGATATCCTATCTGAAACCAGGCGTATTCCAAGATCTTCATAAGTTGGAATGGCTGTAGGTTTCTCACAATTGTTCTTCATACTTATTATTTTTAATTTCCAAAATGTTTTGCTCACTTTTTCTGGGTGAGTCCAAATGTGGCGGTAGATCAGAGGATTGTAATTCAAATAGTAGTTAATTGTCCAATCACATTAGTGTGAGGGTGACAGTATTTGCAGACGTGATTTGTTGTGCAGTGCTCCATCACTAACAGTACATTTTACTAATTTTTAGACAAGTCTAAATGCTGTCAGCATTGATGAATTCTATGAAGATCGCCCATACATCTACAAGGCTGTACACCATGTTACAAAGTTCTATTGTAAAATAGTGGTTCAGGGCGAATAACTTTGAAATCATTTGGTATCCCACTCAGAATTCTGATTTCAGTTCCATAGAAAATCTTTCATCAAAATCAAAGAATCACATTTTTTACTCCTAAAAAGAATTAAATCATGTTATTTAGAATGTTTCTTTTTCTGCTCCCAGGACTTCATTCTATAATATCACTATTATGGAATTTTGACTTGACTGCTATACTATGCAGTTTTTATACATTTTAAACTTTGCCTAGTAATCTTAGGTTAATCGTTTTTATTTAGTTGGAGCTATTTGAATTTGAATACTCATCATATCCTTAATTTTGTTTCTAGAATCCTGGAAAATAACAAAATAAACCGAATTTCATCAATGACATTTGCAGGGCTGAAATCACTGGTACTTTTGTAAGTTTCTCCTTTTGTTCTTTATTAGCACAATACTGTAATTCAAAAACTGTAATCATTTTAGAATTTAGAACACACCTTGCTCACACCTGAAGAAGGCTCCATGGCCGAAAGGTTGTGTTTTCTTTCTTCTCTTTTCAGCATGGAATAAACCTATTGTTTCTTTGCTGTCTTATGCATGTGTTCAGTAACATCTTAAGTACAGTGTTCAGTCCAGGATATTGTGTACGTTTATCTGCTGAACACTAACACATTTAAATGCATGCAAATATTCAGGTTTCACCATATGCTCCTGCACTGTGGTTTATTAGGACAACAATTTTAGTCCAGTTTAAAATAATGCAGATCCTTCAACACATACTATGGGATCTCTTAGCAGATAAAACCAATATTATTAGCAGAAGTACTGAATGAAAGCAATATAGAAAAATACAAACTTACATTGTCTATGCACAAATGTGTGTATATTGCTGTTGTCATGTTTTTTTTTCTGTTCATCTGTACACCAACACTGCTGCTGTAAAACAATTGCCCCCTTGAGGATAATAAAGACTCTTTCTGTAAACTTCTCATCAAAAGGTGTTTTCAGATTTAGTATCCTAGTAACTATTTAGATGCACAAAAAGTAAAAGATTCACATGATTTATCAAAGATTTACACTAACCTACCACCAAAAACAAGGAACATAAACATAATTTGACCAAGACATATACAATATCTAGAGTGACATAAAAAACATAAGGAATGTCATTAGGACATTCAGCCACCTAGCCTATTTGGTTAAGGAATCTAATTGATCCAAAGATCTCATCCAACCACTTCCTGAAAGAATAAAGTACCTTTTATTATTTACTTTAACCTCTAGTGCAACATTTCTTTCCACTTCTGTCTTTGCCTTTTCACCAGTGCTCGCAATTTATTGTTCACATTTTCTTTAACTGGACTTTTTGCATTTTTAAACAAAGTATATTTTTTCTTTTTTATTTTTCCCACTTGATTTGTTGTACCATAAGATACCGTTTTGTTAGCTTCTTTTGTTTTTTGACAGATATCGCTTAACAAGTGAGAAAGAAAGGAAGCCACGTGTGGAAATAATTACATTTTTTTAGTATTTATGATCACCGTTAAACGTAGGCCTTTTTAATATAGAAAATGTACCGTAAATAATTTTAGGGCACTGACTTGTTCTGAAATACACCTTCACAAGCAGATATACTGTACATATTGTTCAAACAAGTATTTAAAAGTAATTTAACCATTGTAACTGTTTCTCCATCACCTTTTCGTACTTGGGAATATATATGTAATATATTTTTTGCCTTGCTGACATATGCTATAGGAAACTTTGGCTTATGTGACAGTATTGCTTCAAACCCAAACTGTAATTTTCTCATTGTAGAGTTCTGCTAAATAATTCTATCAGTCATCTGCATGACAAAGCCATCTGCCAGGAGATGCCTCGACTAAACTGGCTGTAAGTTTTGTTTAAATATGACTCAGTGTATTTTCCTCATGAATAGACCCTTTCCCCACTTACAAGATTCTTGTTATTGAGGAAACACAATCAATTAATCAATCAATCAAAGTGTATTTATCAAATGCACAACAATACAGCGTGCAGCAGTAGTTGTTGGCAATGAAATGTCTTTTCTACGAGCTCACTGGGGGGTGGGAAAGAAATCACAAAAGATTACAAAATAAGGTTACATAATAATAAATAATGGTGCAATAGATATTTAATAAAATTCAACTCAATATAAATAGATTTGCTATGTGTCCAGGGTGTATGCAGTGTATTTTGTCTTAGTAGTACAGAATGCTAAATACAATGAAAACTGCATGTCCATGTAGTCATTACAGGTGATTTGCTAAAGGAGCTGCAGGTTGGCTATTTAGCTGTTCCGTAATCTGTTAGTCTTTAACTGACTGCTTCGGTACCGTTAACCGGACGGTAGGAGAGAAAACAGTTTGTGACTGGGATGACTGGGGTCCCTGAGAATGGACCTGAATGCTTCGGTACCATTTACCAGATGGTAGGAGAGAACCTGGACTTCTTAAGATATCTAGCTGAGTAGATATCCTGGATGTTTGGTAGCTCACAGCCGCTAATGAGCTGCTCTGACTTCACCACTCTCAGACTTGACTCAGACCTAAACAGAGCATACTTTATGTATGCAATTATATCAATCTTAGAAGCTTCTCACTGAATTTGCAAGTGTTTTATTTTATTTTAGAGACCTGGAAGGAAATCATATCCAGAGTGTTGGGAATGTCACTTTTTCTTCGTGCAACATGCTTACTGTACTGTAAGTAAAGTCCTCTGCCAGTAAATTACAATCTTAGATACTGTATGTGTTCTTTTTTTTACTCTTGGTAGTAGAGATGAACTCACTTTATATTGTCTCTCTTTATATCATCCATTCATGTTCTAACCACTTTATCCAATATAGGGTTCAGGCTGCAGGAGCAAATCAGGATACAACCTGAATGGGACACCAATCCATCACAGGGCACAAACAGACACAAACACAAACGCACACCAGGATCAATTTTCCCAGAAGCCAATGATCTTACCAGTATGTCTTTTGACAACCCAGGAATTTAACGTTGTGCCCCAGTTCTGCAAGGCAGCAATGCTAACCCCTGTGTCACTGTGTTGCTCTCTATATATCATACTCACATACTCAGTTTATTGTGATGAGTTTTCCAATATACACTCACCACATAGCATATATTCTTTATAAGAAATTGTTTCCTTTATCATTTCACAAACCCTTATTGGATTAATAAAATAAAATCAAAGAAGAATTTTGTGAAACTTAAATATGTGTAGATTCACCCAGGAGCTGTTTCTCCCCAGGCCATTCCCTTAACATATTTTTAATAGAGGTTTGTTACAAAGACAGTGTGCCATTTGATTTTAAAAACAGCATTGTGTTTGAATGCAATTATTATGTCATATACAGTACAACCAAAACCCCCTCTTCCCACATGGGTCTTCTGACCATAATCCCCACTCCTAGCGTCCATGTCGATGACAATGCGGTACCTGGTTCGGAAACAAACCTCACCTCACACACACAAGCACTGACACAACAGGTCAGGAAAAGAGATAAGCTGGCATCAAAGAACTAATTACACATAACCATTCTTTTTCTCATCTGCAGTGCTCCATTCCTTTTAAACCTAGGGTAAATTAATATTTTTTAAAAAAATTACAGTTGCAACTAACTTATGGTTACATACAACAATCATTTATTCCATATTTCAGTAGTGTTTAATAGTAAGCTAGGACAAATATCATGGGTGCTTGTTATGCTAAAATGTTGGTTTTTTTTTTTCATAAATGTGCTAGTAGTGACTTAAAATGCATTAGTGATGCATTTAATATAGCTTGGCTCCTTCATTCATTAAAAAGCTTTTTTTCACATCAGTTTCATGTGCAAATTTTTTTTTCACACAACCCATTTAACATCAGAAATTGCTCCTGCATGGTGATAATGATGCAAAGAAATCCTTCTGTATCTTTTTAACAATAGCACTGAATAGTAAATGATAATTGCTAGTTAGAGTTGCTGTCTTAATTAGTAGATTTTTATTGCACGCTATTGGTGTATCATTACACAAACAGAAGTGAATAGAAATGAAAATGAAGCAAATATCTTGTGTGAAGAGTAACACAGGGATTGTATAAAGAGAAAAATACCTGCCATTCTGTAAGGATTCATTTTCTATCCATGGATTATATCTTTTGAAGAACAGGGGGATACATAATCGCAATAAATAAGGAGTCAATGTTAAGACATATTAATGTTTTTTTCACATTTTCCATTTAGAACTCTGTAGTAAGAAATTGTTGTTGTTTATATATGAGACTGATATTTAGAGGCAATAAGATGTACGGTATAAGATATATGGCAAGAAAAAACTAAAATAATGAATAGAATCTACTGGCATTAAAATTATTTTAGAACTGTTGTGATGTTTCATAATTATATTGGTTTTTTTTTCCACAGTGTATTGCAGCGAAACAGTATCAGCAAATTACAAGAGTTTACATTCTCCCCTTTACAGAAGCTTGGGGAACTGTAAGTTACACTTTTTTATTGTTATGCTTTTTCTTAGTTACACATTCTTTTTCCATTTTCATTTATTCTAGCAACAGAAATAAACTGACTCACAACATGTGATGCATCTCTTTTGATTGCACAAACACATTTCTTGCGCCAATCGCTTGCCAGGATAGGCTCCCCCACAACCCTGAACTGGGACCACTTGGAAGAAGTGGTTAGAAAATGGACAATGGGTATTTCATAGCTACAGTATCGCCTTCAGAAAATCACATTGTTGTTTCTGTTAAAGTAGTAAGTATATACAGAGTTTTCAATAAGTTTCAATATTTCTAATACCAAAACTGAAATGTTTTTTGTTAAAACATTTGAGAACATAGGAGCAGTAATCTTTGTGGCAGGTCATTGTATTTTATAACAAAGTTTATAAAGGTTAGGAGGCTGTTCAGTTTATTGTGCAGTTTTGTTTGATAATAGCTTATTGATCCAAAGTTTTTAGTAGTCAATCAGCAACACAGCGTTCAGCAGTAGTGGATAAAAAATCACAAAAAGTTACAAAGTAAGGTTACATAATAATAGATAATAGTGCAATACGCTATTGAATAAAATAAACTCAGACAATACTCAATATAAACAGAGCTGCTATGGGTCCAGGGTGTATGCAATACATTATGTCCAAGTAGTGCAGTATGCCGAATACAGTGAAAACTGTGTGTCCATGTAGCCATTACGGGTGATTTGCTGAAGGAGCTGCAGGTTGGTTATTTAGCCATCTTATTGCCTGGAGGTAGATGCTGTTCTGTAATCTTTTAGTCTTTGACTGAATGCTTTGGTACAGTTAACTGGATGGTAGGAGAGAAAACAGTTTATGACTGGGATGACTGGGGTCCCTGAGAATGGACCTGCACTTCTTAAGACATCTAGCTGAGTAGATATCCTGGATGTTTGGTAGCTCACAGCTGGTAATGAGCTGCACTGACTTCACCACCCTCTGCAGTACTTTGCGATCCTGGGTGAAGTAGTTCCTATACCAGGCAATGATGCAGCTAGTCAGGATGCTCTCAATAGTGCACCTGTAGAAGCTGGCCTGGATATATGATGGCATGCCGAACTTCTTTAGCCTACAGAGAGAGAATAGGTGCTGCCGTGCTGTTTTGACCGCGGTGTTGGTGTGGTGGGTCCAGGTTAAGTCCTCTGTGATGTTAACTCCCAGGAACTTAAAACTGCTGACCCTCTCCACTGCAGTCCCATTTATATAAATAGGTGTGTGACCTCCTCCCTGGTGTTTCCTATAATCCACGATCATCTCCTTAATCTTACTAATGTTCAGGGAGAGGTCAATCATTTGAAATCAACAAATCCTTTTATATGCTATCAATCTGGAGTCAACAGGTATTAATCAATTGTCATCAGTACCCTTACACTAAAATGGAATTGAAGACATACCCTTCATCAAGTTGCTCATCATTGATACATATTATGAGCTCCATTATACCTCAAAGGAAAGTTCATATCAGAGCAGCAGCAGATATATATATATACTGTATATATATACATCCATGATTCTGTCACCATTACATTGAAAAGGAACTGGATAAAATTCTGCAGATATTTTCATTATTACAGATACTTGGGAGTCTCCAAAGCTCCTATCCTCAAATTGTTCTGTTTATGTTTAAATGTGACACGTATGCAGTATCTTACAAATGTATTCACCCCCTTCCAATGATTTCTAATTTTGTCGAATTACAAATTATGTATGCACATTATTTAAAGTTAATAGTTTTCATACATGTTCTCAAGCTGAACACTTTAAAGAGGTCCCAATATTGACTTCAGAAAACATCACTGGTAATGCAACTTAATAGGGCATCATTGGAACAGGGAGAGTACTTTTGCAAGGTGCTAGAATTACATAATTATTATGTGTTGTTCCTTTTGCTTTTCTTTGTAGTTTTAAAACAATTTATATTTTCTTCCAAAATAATTTTTCTTATTCTTTTGACAGAGATTTGTCAAACAACAGAATTCAGACAATACCACCAAACTTATTCATGGATCTCAATGAGTTACTACAGCTGTAAGTCTTGCTTAATATTGCTAAAGTAAGATTTAGTTTACTTTTTTTGCTTACTTCTTGTGAAAGTAGTTAAGAATTTAAGTAAAGTGAATTTAGGTGTACTGCATATTCTATTTTATTTTTAAACATAGTGACTTTGCACATCCACACAGTTCAGAGAATTTCAAGATGGATGGATGACACCCTAAGCAAGACAGTTAATTTTAGAGGCAAAGGGCATCACTGAATAGTTTGGACTGTTATCCCACATAACCGAAATACCATTGGATTTTCATTTGTTTTTTCTGATGAAAAAAGCCCTCTGATGTTGAAACTTCAGTGATGAATAGAAGCCTTGCAGTAATGGCTCAGGGAACAATAAACACCACTTTATTATGAAGGTATCCATAAATTTACAGAGCAGAGGTATAAGTTATAAAACAAACTGTGCTGAAAAACAAAAGAGTCTATCCCACCTGGGAAATTTATTCACTTTACGATATGACTTATTCAGTCAGTTTTCTAATAATACTGAAATATTAATAGCTTCTAACACAATTTAGTATTAAATGTTTTGATTGTCATGAATTAAAAAAACAGTAATACACGGTTGTAAATTAAAATGTTGTACAGATACAATATTCTTCAGTTTATAAGACTGTAATGTACTGTATATACAATATATCGTTATAATGTATTTTTATTCTTATGAAATGGAAGTTTTCTCCTTACTGTATCTGTAGAGCTTTGGTAATGATGAGACTGAAATCAGGATATAAATTTTGGAGTCTATGATGTAGACATATATTCTTACATTAATAGAATAAAAGTTATTTTAAAAACTAATTACTCTTCTCCTTCTCCTTTCTTTGCTTTCTCATAGAAACATTTCTTACAATCCGATTTTGGAGTTTCAGACAGACCTCTTTGATAACCTGCATAAATTAAAATCACTGTAAGTTGTTTTAACATTTAACTGTATTTTTTTTTCTATACTGATATTTGTATAGGAGTCAAATTAAATACCTTTTGCCTGTGTAGCAGAGCTAGTTCGG